ATGTAAAATTGCCATTGCATAAGTTTTGGCGGCCAAGTTCGTAAATTTATCATTCTTGGACTACAACTCTGGGGAGTTATTATTTAAAAAAATGAAATTATATCATCAAATTGAAAAAAAAATCAGATTTTATATAAACAAAACTCAGCTTTACTAATACTCGTACTCTGGTATATAGCTTCCAAAATAATAAGTTGCCTAAAATATTAGAGTTCCTGATCTTCTTTGATATCCCCTCGTACACATGCATCCAATCATAATCGAGATTTTTTATATATTATTTCCTAAAATAAGATTATCATTTTTTGAACAAAATCTTTTTACTTTATTTCCTAAAAAACTATCATATTACTACTACATAAATATTTTAGGTATCTTGCTCACTAAGTTTGTTGACTCCAAATCATCCCAAACTGTTGATTCATATTTTCCTATATATACTCCATTCATTTACTTCAGTTTCTACGCATTATAGCTACCTTCATTCCCTCGAATCATTCTTTCTTGTTCATCGTTCTTCTTTCTTGACCGATTTCGATGGAGAAATCAGAAACCCAAGAAAACATCACCATGACCAACAAGAAACGAAACAATGTTGCTACAACAACCTTGTCACCAAATTCATCTCCAACAAAACCAAATACCGAAGATGAAGAACCAAAACCCAAGATACAAAGAGAGTGTTACATTATGAGAAGCCCTAATTACAACTTGAAAATTACCTTTGCCAAACCACCTTCATCACAACAACAACCCTCTTTAAACAACAACAAACAACCCGAGGCCTCGAAAGTCGAGTTCAAACCTCCCGTGATCATGACCAACAACAAACCTAAGATGATGAAGATCAAGAAGCCTGCTAATAAAAGTGCTAAATTATCTTTCGTTGATCATGATACTAATGCTGTTAAAGCCTCAATTGTCAAGCATGTGACGCGTAATTTGGGATACGATATAGAAGATATTAGCGAATTGAAAATAATAATGGAAAAGAAAATGACTCCAAGTGATATGGCACCTCAACAAGCACGACTAGCCCTCCCAGCAGGTTCTGCAGAAAAACTTGATGCGTCGTTTCTGACAAATGATGAGAAAGAGTTTCTTAAAGAGGCGGATATCGACGTCAAGGTCATCATGGGATTTTCCGTGTACGAGATGCCACTAGGAAGATGGAATAATTTCATTGATAAAGATAAGAAGAAGAACAACATCGAGGATCCCGGATTTAAGTATGTTTTGAAGTCGGGGAAAAGACGCCAGTGGCCTAAACTCAAGGAGGAGAATGGACTACAAACAGATGATAACATTCTTCTTGCAACGTTTCGACACAACAACGCTCTTCACTTTGTCATCATCAAAGGAAAACTCGTCATGCTGTTTGGAACTACTATAGGCCATAAGTACACTTAATTAGTCCAAGATTATTGACTGCAGACTCATGTATTCTGGAGATATATTCTGGATAGTTTACTCATCATTCAATTAATTCTTCTTTTTTTTTTTTTTTTTTTTTTTTTTTTTGATATTTCAAACAATGTTACGTTGTTTATTAGTACGGAGTATTAGTTTTATTAGGTACGTTTGTTGGTTGTATTTATGAATTGTAAGAGTTTAGTATAGTGAATTAATAAAGATTGTGGCTTATTGGCTTCTTAAGAATCTGAGTGTTTTGAGTGTATCTAATTTATTACAATATCAATTGAATGATCTTTATGTTACCCCATTAGGATTTTACAATTTGATCAATTTTGACTTAGATATATAGCATATGCTTCGTATTCAATAATTATAATAACGAATTGCTTAAGTATTGTATGAATAAATAATTTTGAATTTTAGGGTTAATCTTTAACATAAAATAAATTGTGTTCGGTGGTTTATGTAAGCTTTTTTTGCCATGGAATGTTCGTCAATAATCCTCGAAATTGGAAGCTTTTTTTACCATGGAATGTTCGTCAATACCTACTGGAAGGAGGTCGGGTAGTTGGTGGTGGAAAGTGTTAAGCAATTTATGAGAACAGGATACATGCTCAAGGAATGGAACCAAACGCTCCAGTGTTGATTCCAAAGGTGAAGGCCCCAGAGCTGGCTACTCACTTTAGACCTATAAGCCTGTGTAACACGATCTACAAGTGTATCTCAAAGTGCTTGGTCAACAGGTTAAAATCAATTCTTCCAAGTCTTATCTCAAAGAACCAGCATGCCTTCATACCAGGGAGGTATATGGAGGACAACATTATCTTGAGCCATGAACTAATGCACCTGATTAACTCGAGGAAGAATTCGAATTTTATAGCAGTGAAGATTGATATGTTCAAAGCTTATGATAGGGTGGACTGGCTCTTTCTCATGAAGATCTTGCAGGCTTACGGTTTTTCCATCCATTGGATTAGGATGCTTTCACAGTGCTTCACGACGGTGAGATTCAAAACAATCATCAATAGGAATGTATCTGGGCACTTTGTTCCAAAGTGTGGTTTGAGACAAGGAGACCCTCTCTCCCCGTATCTGTTTATCTTCTGTATGGATATCCTTTCAAGGATGCTGACCTTGGCAGAAGACATTAATCAGTTCCATGGTTTGAAAGTGTCTAGGAGATCCCCCTCGATCTCTCACCTCTTCTTTGCAGATGATGCTATGTTATTTTTCAAAGCAACAAAGGAGTCTTGCTTGTGCATTTCTGATATACTTCTTAGGTTTGGCAAAGCTTCCGGTCAACAATTAAATCTCTAGAAATCTACGATAAAATTCTCTCCGGGTTTTGACAACGATGAGAAATTGATTGTGAAACAAACTTTTTCAATGCCCGAGACAAGTAACATGGGAATCCATCTGGGAGCCCCGATCGACATCCAGGGGAAGAAAAGCTCTCACTTCCAATTCTTAGTGGACAAGGTGTCGGAAAAAATCACATCATGGGTTTCTCTTCATTTCTCACAACTGGCAAAATTAATTCTTATAAATACAGTATTGGTAAGCATATCTGCTCATGTTATGAAGTGTTTGAAACTACCTCAGAGTATTGCAAACAAAATTGATTCGTTGATCACTCGGTTTTGGTGGGCCACAAAGGGTCATAAAAGCTTACATTGGGTGAGTAGGGGCGTCACGCAGCTTCCTAAGGCCATGGGTGGACTAGGAATTAGGGGCTCTTCTAACCTCAATAATGCTCTTATTTTCAAACAAGCCACCAGGATGCACCTCAACCCCTAGCTTCTCCTCTCTAGAGTCCATCGAGGACTGCAAGAGTGTGGTGTTTGCAACATCGCAGGCCCCTATATAAGAAGAGGGCCCCCATCTACGGGGAGGGCTAGCATTCAAAAGGTTGCTCGAATCTTCAAGGACGGTTTTGCTTGGAAGGTTGGGGATGGTAGAAACATATAGGCAATAAGTATGCCTTGGGTGAAAGGAGAAATCCCTCTAGTGAAATCAGGCCAAACTCCGAGGGACGCTTTGGACTGGAAAGTAAGTGATTTCATTGACAGGGAGACCTTTACTTGGAAAGCAGGGCAGGTTAAGGAGTGTTTTGAATGGGACTGGGCTAAAGAAATTCTTTCATTAGAACTGCCGCATACAAGTGAGGATGATTTTCTATACTGGAAATACCATCCATCGGGAAAGTATACAGTTAAATCAGGGTACTACTACCTGTCAAAGGATCTTGGGTTAGAGAGTACTACCTTCTTGGCTAGGGATCAGGGCTTCATCAAGCTAATATGGAGAATGGATATTCAACCAAAGTGGAAACTTTTTATGTGGAGGCTCTTCCATGATGGTATAGCAGTCGAAGTTAACCTGGCTAAGATGAGTGTTCTAGTGGACACTGTGTGTGACCACTGTAGGGTTGGCAATGAGGATAGCCAACATCGCTTTATGTTTTGTACTCAGGCAAAGGAAGTTTGGGAAACTGGATCCCTACATATTTGCCTTGACTCTTCTGAATCTATCTCTCTAAAAAGATGGATTCAACACTATATCCTGTTTTTTTATAGCGAGGATGGTAAACATGGTACCCGTCATGCTTTGTTCATTGCAACTCTTTGGGGTTTATGGAAAACGAGGAATGAAAGATGTTTCAAGGAAGTGGAAGGGACGACAAGCCGAGTAAGGGAATTCATAAACCTTGCTATGAACGATTATGAGACCTTTTTAAATCAAGCTAGTACGGTAAACGAATCGGAGGCTACGAGAAGGGATGACCCAAATATTCCACCAGGGTTCAATCATATCCACCTAGGGAAGGTACTCTTGGGATAAGAATACTACAAGGGCAGGGGTAGGGTGGGCTGTTAGGGTCAACAACAAAGGATATGCCCTTGAAGAGGGAAGATGCCATGGTGTAGCAGCGTCCATCATTCAATGCGAAGCTTGGGCTTGCCTGGAAGCAATGAAATGGGCTCGTGCTAAAGGGAGGCAGGAAATCCTTATCTTTTCGGACTCCACTTCTTTGTTGAATAATTTGTAGGATGAGACGGGAAAGGATGTCTCGATAACTTGGATTATCAAGGAGTTAAGAAAAGTAGGGGCGGAATTCCAGAAATGCGCAATCTTTAAAGTCTCGAGAGAGGAGGTTCAAAGAGCTAATGACATTGCTAGACAATGCAGGGTTAACCTTCCGTTTTAGCTGTTTTTTCTTTTTACTGTCCGCTTTCTTTTGCTGTTGTCAAAAAAAAAAAGTATATATTGTGACAATATTAAATGTACCATGTACGTAATTCTAGCCACCAAAAATGTGGCATGAGATGATTAGTTAGATTCCCTTTTAGAATTCTATAATTGGAAAACACCATCACAAAGATGGTTCTTGTCAATTCTTCCGATCTCTTCTATTGACCTCACATTAAGAAAGCAATCTCCTTGCGAAGAGAAAAATTTAAAAAAAAAAAAATAACAACTAAGAAAATTATACAAAACTAAATTGTACTAAACAAAAGTTTAATAATCACAAATTAATTATCATACGTTAAATTGCTAATGCATCAAATTGATAAATAGATAAAATGTCAGGCGATCATGACTTCAATGTCGAACATACAAAAAAGAAGAAGGTAGCTTTCATTGGTATATCTTCTTTAATGATGCTAGGAATGGTTGTAGCCGTGACTATAGGAATAAAGGACACGGGCAATGGAGGTAAGTATAACGACGACGATGATGGCTTAGCGACGTCTTCCAAGGCGGCCCGATCAGTATGCCATGTAGTTGAACATCGCCATGCTTGCGAGAGAACCCTTGCTCATGTCCATACATCTGATCCTAACAAGATTGTTCAAACTACTTTTAATGCAGCCGTGGTTAAGCTTGAGGGTGCCTTAGCTAAATCTAGTTCCATTAAGGTTAAAAAGGTAAATATACTTCATTATTATCATTTTTTTTATTATGTTGCTAAATGCAGCCTTTTTTCAATAAATCTACCTACTTTCCTCTCAATTTTGTGTTTCATAAAATAAATCATACTTTTATTTAATTTTATTTATTTATTTATTTGTTCCATATATTCTATAAGAGATAAAGCAAATGTAAAGAAAAAATGTCTTCTCTTAAAATCAAAGTAAAAAATTAAATTGGAATTACAATGGGTTTGACAAAAATATTTCAAATTCTGTTAAAATTAATTTTCCAAATTCAACCTATAGATACCCTTATTCTCTTGCAAGTTTGAGTGATACATAGATGATCCTATTTTATGCAAATTGAATGTAACACAACTATTATTTTTAAGCAATTTGAATGAAACAGCAAATTCTATTTTGTGTGACATAGATTAAAAGAATCAATACTTTCAAGAAATTGTATTGAAATAAGGGGTAATTCAAATCTTGTGAGCCGACAAGGTCACTTTGGACAAAGACTTTGTTGTTATTATTGTTGTTGTCGTCGTCGTCACGAAAGATTTAAATCTAATATTTTTGATATCATAAAAAGTAATTATATGGACAATTCATTGATTTTTTTGTTTTATTATTAGAGTTTCCCGTTCATCTAGTAAATAATACTTATATATCATATATGATTTAATAGGATGATCCTAGAACTGCAGGAGCATTGGAAGCATGTAAAGAAGCAATGGAGTATGCAATTGGTGACCTTAAACGTTCAATAGACCAAATGGGTCATTTTGATATTCGTAAGAGGGATGAGTGTGTCGAGAACATGAGGGTTTGGCTTAGTAGTTCCATGACCTTCTTGGAAACTTGCATCGATGCGTTCGAAAATACGACCGGAGATGCCGAAGAGAAGATGAAGTCAATGTTAAATGGTCCAAGAGAACTTACCTGTAATAGCATGGATGTTGCAACTGAGCTCTATACAATTTTTAAGTCTTTGAAAAATACAAATACAAGTCAAGCTCACAAGCGATCGCGTGCTGAAGAAAAAGGTATGTTTGAGTGTTTTCACTTTCACACACGAAAAAATACAAGTAGATATTCAATATCAACATAACTTTTTAATATCAAGGATTTTTTGGCAAATTCTTAAGCAAAACCCCCTTTCTCTCTCTTCTATCACCACTGAACCACCACTAAACCACCACTAGATCCACCTTTTGACTACCGCATCACCACTAACACCATCGCACGACCACTAGCACGACCATCAGACCACCGTACGACCACAACCACCACCAACCATTAAAACCACTAAGACGACAGTCGTACCTCCGCGAGCATCACCCTTTCTCTAAGAGGTTAGTATGGGCCCACTTTACATATGTCCTACTAGGGTGTCTTTTATTTGGCCAGCCGGCCAGTTTAGACTCGCGATGGTGGTCGGATGTTCGGCAAGGCCATGGGAGGGGAGGAGATAGAAGGAATAGTGGCCATGGAAGGGGAGGAGAGACAAATTGAGTGGCCATGGGAGAGGATGGTTGGCAAGGCCAGGGAGGGGAGGGGAGAGAAAGAGAAGTGCTTTTATTTTCCAAAATGTCACTATATTAACAAGAGATGTTAATATAGGATATTAATGGGGACTAGCTCTTCACACACTACCTCCGTTTTATATTAATTTGTGCGACATTTATTAAAAATAGCTGCTACACATTATGTGCAATTAACTTTGTTTTTCTAAGTTGTCAATATTTTCTGTCTTTCTCATCATCACTTGCATTTCTATTGTTATCATTTATTTATTTAATACTCACAAATAAATTTTGCCTATGAGTTTGTATCAAATCCTTTTAGTGCACATAATAAGAAATGGAGGTAATACCTTTAATTCTGATTCTTTTGATATAAGAACGTTTGACTTTTATAAGATACAGAGTTTCAGGATATGATATGGGGAGGTTCCCCCCCTTTTTTTTTTTTTTTTTTTTGAGGCTTATTTATTTTTTTGTAGGAATGAGTAAAGATAAAAGCAACAAGTGTTGTCACCGAGTATTATTGCAAGATTTGCAACATGGGAAATTTATGCATCCAAATATATATTTGCAATCTTAATTAAATACTCCCTCTATTCTTATAATTTTAGCACACTTTTCAGTTGAGCCTTTTTATAAGTTCGACTCGGTTTTTCTTAATTCATTTTTTTTTTTAATTTTGAAATTTTGTTTTACTATCTTACCCCTCATATCATACGCTAAGGTATTTACACTTCTTTATCCCATCTCTTTTTATTTTATTAATTTTTCCTACACCCTTCCATGCATTAATTTAAATAAGAGTCTATAGTATATTATTAGTACATCAGTCAAAGTATCAAAAATGGAGGTATTATAAAATAAAATGGAGGTATTATAAAATAAAATTAATATTATAAAAGTATATTAATCGGAAGAATCTAAAAATATCCGACATGACTATATTTTTCCATACCTATAAAAATGTTAAAATGCAATTGTTGCAATAATTAGGGAACGAATCAAGTAATAATGTTAAGAGACAATGTAGTTCATAAGCCATAGCGTCAAGTTCCGAGAAATGGTAAACTCAAAAGATGAAATTAGGGAGCATAAATCCTTTTGGATTTAGTGATTGTGATACAATTATAATTATTTTTTATTTAAGTTAAAGATGAACAATTATTTTATGGACGAGATAAGAAAAGTAGTGATTATACAAAAATTTCATAGTTTGTATACACGATGTACATGTATTTGTACTTAATAAGGTGCTTTATACCCTGAAATTTTACCTAATGTGCTTATCTCATTTTAGATATTGTCATATACTATGTATACATTTACAATATAGACTCAAAGATTTGGCGTGTGTATGTGTATGACATGCAATTAATAGTGCAATATCACTCCAAATTGTAATTTTCAGCGTAAGAAGAAAATAATTCTTAGGTTTTGTTGTATTACATACATGATGAATACATTATAAATAATAATTTATCAAAAACTTGACGCTAAAGCTTCTACTAGTGTCGTTTTTTAGGGAAAGTTAATAAAGAAGGCGAGGCTCAACTTTGGGCGGATTTAAGGGAGCGAAAACTACTTCATGAACGTGGTGCGACTATGAGGGCAGATGTAATAGTATCTAAAGATGGAAGCAGTAAATTTAAAACTATAACGGAGGCCTTGAAGGAAGCACCACATATAGATGCAAATAAAGTGGGAACCATTGTAAATAAAACATTTGTGATCTACATCAAGGAAGGTACTTATGAAGAAGATGTTCGAGTAGAGGCAACAATGTCGAATGTTATGTTCATAGGTGATGGACCGACTAAGACGATAATCACTGGGAAGAAGAGCTTTGCTGATGGTTTTGCTCTCTATAAAACTGCAACAATTTGTAAGATAATTCTATTCCTGAGCTTATTCTATATTTGTATTGAACCATACATATTTATATCACCAAGTTTTCTTTTATGATCTTTTTTGTGACATATACACATTAACTATGAATTTTCATTTATTATTGCCCAACTTTCAACTAAATCAGTTTATTTATCTTTCTTTTACTGAATGCAGCAATAATGGGAAGGAAATTCATAGCCAAGGATATAGGCTTTGAAAATTCAGCAGGTGCAGAAAAGCACCAAGCAATAGCTCTGTTGGTCCAATCTGATATGTCAATTTTCTATAATTGTCATATAAATGGCTACCATAACACATTGTATGCACATAGCTATCGACAATTTTATCGGCATTGCACCATTACAGGTACCATTGATTTTATATTTGGAAACGCAGCTGCGGTTTTTCAAAACACTAGGCTTGTCATACGCAAGCCATTAGAGGATCAAGACTGCGTAATAACAGCACAAGGTCGATTAAACATAAAAGGGCCAACAGGGTTCATACTCCAAAATTGTACCATTATGGCAGATCCATTGTACTACCCATTACGCCATAAGAACAAAGCCTTCTTAGGCCAACCTCGAAAGAAGTTTTCTCGAACAATCATCTTGCAATCGTACTTGGCTGACTCAATAGATGCAGAAGGTTGGAAACAATGGTCAGGAACATTTGCAGAAGACACTTGCTATTTTGCCGAGTTTGAAAATAGAGGCCCTGGTGCAACATTGACGGGGCGTGCTAAGTGGCATGGGATTAAGAATATTAGTAAACACGAGGCTGATGGTTTTACTCCAGAAAAATTTTATGATGGTAATCGATGGATTCGTCCCACCGTAGTACCTTATATACCGGGGATGGTGCCTAAATAGAGATAGCTAGAGGAAAATAAAGTTGTGGTAATGTAGAAGCTCATGCACATATAGTTCTAGTTAAGTTTTATGTGCATATGAACCGAGGATTATTGATTAAAAATGTATATGTTCTTCAATTAAGAGGATGCTTCTAGCATAGTTCTTGACTACGAACGTCGAACGACTACGGACGACTACAATAGGAGATTAAATCTGAACCGTTTATTATGTTTGTTGCTTAATTTTAGCCTTTAAATATTACATTTTTAAAAAATTAAAAAATCTAATTTACACATCATTTAATTCATGACTAGTCAGCTAAGTGTTGTTTGTTTTCTTACTTTTAGAGGCTAATTTTTTTTTTCGAAATTATAATATTATAAACAACCATACAAATAAATTTTAAATTTGATAAAAGTCAGCCACATTATATATATATATATATATATATATATATATATATATATATATATATATATATATATATATATATATATATTTGTACAGCTTCATCCCCATTTTGAAATCTCCATCCCCATTTTGATAGCTTTATTCATCATTAATGGTGTACTTCATCAAATTACCAAATTATACATGGAATCAATAAGATTAATGAATAATCATTACATTTATGCTTCAATTTTTTACTTTAAAGTTTGTGGCCATTATATTAGATCAAATCTTAACCTTTCATTTATTATTTTAAAAAATATAAACTGTTGATTTGAAATTTGGGATGATTTTTTAGTTTTTCAAAAAAAAAATTGATAAAAAATAAAAAACAAAACAAAAACAAAAACATTCTTTCAGTTTCTCCCATACTTTATTTTGCTTGATCTCTAATCTTCTGGAGTTAAACATGTTTTTGATTCATTTCCATCTTTTCTCAATTATTACTCATAATGTATTAATGTTGCAAGTTTCTTGATTGTTACAATGTTCCTTCGATTTTTCCCCTCCTTATTTATTTTTATGGAGCAATGCTTAAAGTATAATACACCATAGAAATTGTTAATCCAGATCTTCAATACCATACCATATTCATATTCATGTTCTTTTAGTATTTCGTGATTTTGGGGCGATTTGTAATCTTTGACTATATCTTTCCATAATTATCTTTTTTTTTTCTCAATTTTACAATATACTCCGTATCAATATGATAATTATTTTCCCAAATTTGCGTTGACATTTAATTTCAAAAGATATTTGATTATAAGTATATTTAGATTTTAATTAATGCAAATTATTTATTGTCAAAGTTAAAATAAATTGAATCGAGACAATTGAACAACATATAAACCATATAAGGAAGTCGGGAATTTTTAGGGGAGGTGGTGTCACATAATCAGAGTGCTTTCGTTCCTAAACGGCTTATTACTGATAATGCAATTGTTGCTTTTGAGATCTTTCATAATATGAAAAGAGGAGGTGGTGGGAGACAGGGAAATATCGCCTTGAAGCTTGACATGAGTAAGGCGTATGACCAGGTGGAGTGGGTTTTCTTGAAGATGGTAATGGAAAAAATGGGGTTTGCCGGGGAGTGGATCAGTCGTATAATAGCTTGTCTGGAGAGCGTTAATTTTTCTTTCAAAATTAATGGGAAAATTTCTGGATCCGTTACTCCGACTAGAGGGTTAAGACAGGGTGACCCTATTTCTCCATATTTGTTTCTGCTTTGTGCTGATGCGTTCTTGACTTTATTAAATAAAGCAGCAACAAATAATCTCATCCATGGTGCTAGAGTATGTAGAGGAGCTCCAAGTGTCTCTCACCTATTTTTTGCCGACGACAGTATCCTTTTTGCTAGAGCTAATGTGCAAGAATGCTCCGTGATAGCTGACATTATCAGCAAATATTAGAGGGCATCGGGTCAGAAAGTTAATCTAAGCAAAACTGATGTAACCTTTAGCAAAAATGTTGATAATAGTCGAAGGGAGGAAATTATTGGGATTCTTGGTGTTACGGAGGTTGAGCAACATGAAAAATATTTAGGCCTCCCCACTATTATTGGCAGATCAAAGAAAGTGATTTTTGCAGGGCTTAAAGAAAGACTGTGGAAGAAGCTTCAAGGGTGGAAGGAGAAATTATTATCGAGACCGGGGAAGGAAATACTCATCAAAGCTGTGGCTCAAACTATCCCAACATATATGATGAGTATCTTTAAAATTCCCGATACTTTAATTGATGAGATTCACTCTTTATTGGCTAGATTCTGGTGGGGTTCCACAGACTCGGGGAGAAAGATGCACTGGCAGAGATGGGAGTTATTGTGCCAACCGAAGGGCAAGGGTGGAATGGGTTTTCGTGATCTCCGCTATTTTAACCAAGCATTGCTAGCAAAACAATTATGGCGTTTACACCACAACACTGATACTCTGGTACATAAGATTCTCAAGGCAAAATATTTCAAAAGCTGTGATGTATTGAAATCAAGTGTGGGCTTTGATCCTAGTTTTGCTTGGAGGAGTATGTGGAGTACGAGATCTTTGCTCCTTGAGGGTATGAAGTGGAGATTTGGTAATGGGAGTGAGATTAATGTGTGGAGTGATACATGGCTACCTGGTAATACATCAGTTTGGGTTGCTACACCCTCTGTGGATAGTGACCTAAATTTAAGGGTCATTGATTTAATTGATCATGATAGCAATTCGTGGGATGTAGAGATGGTGAATAACACTTTCATTGCTGATGAAAGGGCTGCAGTTCTTTCCACTCCTCTCTCGAATAGATGTCCAAGAGATTCTATGTACTGGTGGCCGAATAAGAGTGGGGAATACAGTGTGCAATCGGGATACTGGTTTGGAAAATCTGGAGGTTTACTGGAAGTGGACAGCGCATGGGATGTAGTGTGGAAGCTCATTTGGAGTATGAAAGCCCCCCCGAAACTTTGCCATTTCATGTGGAGGGCATGCAAGGGCTTCCTTGCAGTACGTGAAAGGTTAGTGTATCGCCACATTCTTGAGGATAAAACATGCACTTTATGCAGATGGGGGGAGGAATCCATCATCCATGCTCTGTTCGAATGTTCTGCAGCAAGGGATATATGGGCTGTGAGCAAATTCAGTGTGATCCTTACGCAAGCTCCGTTGGATAGCTTCACCACAAGAGTATTATGGCTGAAGGACAGACTCTCAAAAGATGAGATGATGAACTGGGCAACACTGTGTTGGGCTTCGTGGACATGCAGAAATAAGCTTATTTTTTAGCAGGAACCAATTGATCCAATTGCCATTGCAACAGGTATGTCTAAATTGGTATGGGAGTATAATGAATATGCTGCAAAGGTTCACCCCTCTGTGCCCCGTAATACACCTCCTACTGCAATTTGCTGGCGTAAACCCGTGAGTGGTTGGTGAAAATAAATTGTGATGCGCATGTCAGGGGCTCTTCTCAACTTGGTGTGGTAGCGAGAGATGAGAGGGGTATCATTCTGGCTGCGGCTGTGAGGAAAGGGGGAGAGGGGTGGTTAGTGGAGGTAGCTGAGGCTACTGCAGTAGTGTATGGGCTGAAGTTGGCTAGAAGAATGGGGTATGCAAGGGTGGAAATGGAGAGTGATGCTCTGAATGTGGTGAACAGGGTCAATCATAAAACTAGTGGCTGCTCTCCTTTCTTCCTCGTGATAGATGACATTTTAGCTTTATCTTTAATGTTTGATCGTTTCTCTATTTCGCATGTTAAAAGGTCGGGAAATACTGTAGCCCACTTTGTAGCAAGATGGGATACTAGAAACTGTGATGAGTATGTTTGTACTGGTCTGTTGCCGCAAAGTCTTATGACCTTAGCGGAACTTGATCATCATTAATATATTTTCCCGGCGTTTTCCTCAAAAAAAAAGGGAAGTCGGGAATTTTTCAAAAAAAAAAAATGACAAAAAAAAACAAACCATATGCATCTATTTTGTCTAATTATATAAGTTTTTATATATTTTTTATTTTTTTTATTTTTTTTTGGTACAAGACAAGTGTAATATGATGTAATATAAGTAGGATGATGAACATAGGATCCTTAAAATAAGAGGTAGTGGATTGTAGTTTGTTTGTCTTTTTTTTTTTTTTTTTTTTTTTTTTTTAGATAAATGTAGACTATTGTGGTTTGTGACTTGGGGTTTATTTTTATCTTTTATGCATCTATTTTACGGAGTAATTTATTATCATTCTTAAGAAATTTAAGTATTTGTAAAAAGAATTATAAATATGATAAGATATGATATCAAATTGTATATAACTTGAAAACTTTTATATATATAGAAATGGGATCATATGACTATATGAGACCACATCCCTTATGCGAGAACTCTATTATATGTGAGGACTCATTATAATCGTTGGATCAATTACATCCAACGGTCACAATACAATCCCGGTCAAACAAAACAATTTCATTTGAAATCAAGTTCCTGCGTTTTTTCTCTCTCCTCCTTCCTCTTTCACGCGCAATTTTCTCTCTCCTCGTTCAAGTTCATCCGTTTTTCTACTCTCTTTCTCTCTGATTTTTCATCATTATTTCTTCAATCTTCATCAATTCTTCGTCAAGGTGAGTTTATTGTTTATATTTTGCTGTTTTTCAATTATTTTTAGGATACATTCATCGTTTATTTTCGTTTTGATTTTGGTTTGATTTTTGCTGATTTCAGCTCACATTGTTTATTACTTTGTGTTGATTATGTTTTAATTTGTTATTTTTTTTGTTGATTTTAGTTTTATTTTCGTTTTTTTGAGTAGTTATCAAGTTGATTTTAGTTTTATTTTGCCTGATTTTAGTTATTTTCCAGTTTTTTGGAAACCTAGAAATCATTGATAATTTGTGCTTGATTTTAGGTTTATTTGAATAGTTTTTACCTTGATTTTAGTTTGATTTTAGTTTTATTTGAGTAATTATTTTTTATTTTAGTTTGTACCTTGATTTTTGTTTGATTTTTCGGCTTAATTTTTTCTATTGTGTTTAATTTTTCTGCTTAATTGTATCAGTTTATGCTCGATTATTTCTGCTTAATTTTATCAGTTTGTCTTCAATTTTTTCAATTTGTTCATCAACTTTTATGAAAGAGGCAGACTTTGAGAGTAGTTTGGAAGAGCCTGATTTTGAGAGTAGCTTGGAGGAGCTTGATCTTGAGAATATGTTGGAGGAGGCTATACCTGAGTAGAGAATGGAGGAGTATGATTCTGAGAAATTCATGCCTTATCAAAAATGAACAATCATATAGGAAATATGTGATTCTTGGTAGATTTTAGGGTAGAAAGTTACATTTCTCATTTTGAAAATTTCCAATTCCCCAAACTAGGCTACTATGTTCAGTTTATCTGCCTTTGCTTATATGTTAACATTGTCACAACTCTCAAGGTTCTAAAAATGGGTAGTTTTCTAATTCATTAAACCATTGTAGTATTGAAACTACCCAAATTTGTTCCTTTTGAATTACTTTTTCTTGGTTGGTAGGACACTATTTTCTCACATTTAGGATCCTCTGCTTCTTGTCAGAAATGTGGTGAATCCCCCCTTTCCCCTTTTTATTTATCTTCATATTAAGAGATATATTTTCCCATGCATGCCATCCTCCTTTGCGTTGATATATGAATACTTTTTTCACACTGCTGTGTGCTAAAGGTTTGCATAAATAATATTCTTGAAGCGTTGAATTTAGTGAAAAATTTCGTGGTTGCCTTACACCTAGTGTGCTGTCAATCTTGTGGCTGAGGTTGTGTGACGAATTTTAACTTGACTGGCAAGAATTAGAATTAGTTAGTAGCTGTGACAGAAGATTACAGTTGCAGATAGTGTTTGTAAATTGGAATGCAACTATGATTATTAATATGCTGAATTGTAAATTTGAATGTAACTGTGATTACAGTTACAGTTGTAGATAGTGCTGTCAATTCTTGCTTGTGTCTTGATGCTTTCGTTGGGCTAAGGGATGTTGTTTGGTTAAAAGCTGACTGGCATCATTGAAATTGATAATGACTCAAATCCATCTTAAAAGGAGAAATAAGCATATCATTCATATGCACCTTGTCATATTTGGGCTAGTTATGCAGCCATGTAGGATCTGAACACGTTTTTTCATTTAGAAGATCTTGGTTTAGGGTTTTCTTACAAATTTGCTCATTAATTTGATTTTTCCTTTGTTTTAGTTAGCTTACATTTTTTTTCGGGTTTTTTTTTTTATAATTGTAGAATTGTTCAGTGCTATGGATTCTTCGGTTGCTATTGATTCTACCAATGCTAAAGATTCTACGGATGTACCTTTGGAAAATAATTTTTTGCTCATTTGTCAAATAAAGTTCAATTTGCTCATTTTTATATGACTTTTGCTCATTTCATATTCACTTTGCTCATTTGATATTTACTCTTTTCATTTATATTGCTTCTAAATAAAATTGGAACAAATTTTTCCTTTGCTTGTAGAATAAGTATCAATTTGTCAGATCTCATTTTATAAGCTTGGGCTATAATTTGTTGAGGTATTTGTACGATAAAAAATGTTCCCAACTTATTCTGACTTTTTATTTATTTATTTATTTAATATTTTTTAATTTGTTATTTTTAATGTTTTGCATTTAGAAAACATCCGTTCCAACTGCTCCACAAACTAACGAAGATGTTGAAGTAGATCCAAAGAAGGTATTTATATGCACTAGTAGAAAAACATAAATCAACACTGCATAATGCGCATCGGTTTTTAAAAACCGGTGCAAATAAAAATAGGCGGGATTGAGGGAAAGAGTTTTCGCACAGGTTTGAACCAAACAGGTGCAAAAAATGAGTTAATCGCACTGGTTCGAACGAAACCGGTGCGAAAAATGAGTTAATCGCACCAGTTCGGTTCGAACTGGTGCGAATGCTATGAAAAAAAATCCGATCTTTTTTATATCTTCTTTCTTTCTCTTTCCTCGATATCTCCTCCTCTCTCATCTACCTCTCTCAGTCTCTCTCATCTACAACAATGGAGCCTCAAACTCCTTCTTTCTCCTTCGATCTCCTTTTCCTTTTTTCTCTTTCCCCTCTTCCTTCTTTCTGTTTCATACTTGTTTTTTTTTCCGCCCTACCTTAGCTTCTCTCTCCTCCTTCATTCTTCTTCATCTTCTATGAAGTCTGCGATTTTGAGGGCTCGAATCCCACCATTTTTACTATCTCTTCCTCTTTAATCTGCTGCTTTGTATTCTCTGTTCATTCAAGATCTGTTGATTTTTTGTTTTTCACGAATTGATTTTACATTGGGTTGCGCGGAGTTGAATCTTGATTCGGAATTGATTCTGATTTTGGGGTTTTTAATGTTTGTGAATCAAATTGATTTCTTGTGTTGATATTCGAAATTTAATGAGTTTTGTGGTTCCTCGCTATTGTTGTTGTTGTTCATCGTCTAAGGTTTGCTTAGGGTAAAAATACCCTATGTCGCGTGGCCCAGTAGAATCGTGACACGTGGCAGCCCACCAAAGGCCCAACGGGATCCAATCGGATGCTGCCACGTGGCACCAAAACCCTAATCAGGGAACATGTCTCCCCCACTATAAATAGAGGAATCCTCCTCATTTATTGGGCATTCAAAAATTCATACACGAAACCCGAGCAATATTAATTGCGGAATCTCTCTGAATCAGTGAGAAAAACCTATTTACCTTCCGCACTATTACCCATCCGTAAATCATACTAACTTGATCGTCGGAGACGAAACTCCACCCAACCGGAGTTTCGTGGTTTTGCAGGTACAGAAGTCAGGCGCGCATACTCCGTATTGTAACTCTCCTGAGGGACTAAAAACACCCGAAACATTTGGCGCCGTCTGTGGGGAGAGTACTACTGAGATGGCATCCGATCCTGTACCGAATGCAGAAGGCATCCGGCCTCCGACTGATCCCGAGGTCCATACGGACCATGAGAGTGGCAGTGGGGACGACTACGACGTCGAAACCTACATGGCCCCAAACGGATCATTTCGTTCTAGACGCACCCGTTCCAAGGAAACAAGGGAACGGAGCCAAGACAAAGCTTGTCCCAGCAACCGAGGCGGCAAGCCTGTTGGACAACCCCAGGCGGGGGAGGGTGCTGCCCCCGTCACCAGAGACGAACTCATGAACCTCATGACTAGTTTTAAGGGGGAAATCAAAGATATAATCATGAAGTCAGTTGGCTCCAGCAAGGGTCCGTTGGCAAAGAAGCCTTCTCCCTCCGGGAAGAAGAAAATCAAGGACCGAGTGCCTACTCCGCATCCCAAACACAAGGGGACGGAAGGGCCCCTGATCGACCTTTCGAAACTTTGTTTCCCCGAAACGGGGCAACGGAAGGCCATCCGGCAACACAGCCGGATGGGTCAAAGAAGATGTTCTCTGACGCCCGGTTATTCATCCGGGAGAAGAAAAGTCAGAGCATGTCTCAGTCGGCCTCAACGTCGACCTATTCGGACAGTTTCCGAAATGCTTCAATGAAGCATTCGGAGACACAGCAGGGGAGTCAGTCAGTCAGTATATCTGCACGTACTGGCCCTTATGTGATCCAGCAGCAGGCCCCGTATGTGCCCCAAAAGCCATACGCCCAGTATGGATCTCCATTTATGCAGTCGGCACCCTTCAGGGGTCAGGCGGCCTACCAGGTCCAGCCTATGGACTGGCAGCTCCGACTGTAAAATCTTGGGGAACAGCCTTCGGCTTTCTCTCGGGAGATAACCGAGGCGGTACAACCGACTAAGGTTAAGAATGTGTTGGTTGGTGCCTACGACGGTACCACCAACCCAGAAGACCACCTAATGGCATACACCAACCTCATGTACCTACAGGGGTTGGATGACGTCGCCTGGTGTAGATGCTTCCCGGCTACGTGGAAGGGCATAGCCCAGCGATGGTTCGGCAACTTGCCGGCTGGGTGCATCAACAATTTTAAGGCGCTTGCATACCTGTTTGCGTCCAATTTTTCCATGAATATCCCTGCTAAAAAGACAAGTCTCGACCTAGGGGCTATCCAGCAGGGTGACAAGGAGGGACTTCAGTCCTATGTCAGGCGGTTCAATCTGATGAGAATTCAGATTCAGGAGCTGTCTGACGAAGTGCCATATACAGACTTCTTCAAGGGTCTGAAGGATGGGTCAGCTTTTAAATTTGACCTAGTCCGCAAGAGGGTAGCCACCCTCTAAGAGGCGCTGATGGAGGTGGAGGCCTATATACAGGAGACTGAGCTCTGCTCTATCAGGCATCCGTCGGAGCCCAGGCGGTCCGACAGGAGAGACAGCCGGCCTAACCAGCCAGCCAAAAAAAAAAGAAAATAAAAGAAAAGAAGTCTGGGCAGCTGATCGCCCAGGTCAGCCGTCCCAGAAGAAACAAAGGAAGTTGGAACCGTACGTCCAAAAGTACGAGTTCAACAAAGATTGCTCCTCCATCCTCATGGAGATAAAGGACTAGGTGACAATCGAAAAACCGGCTGCAATGAAAAGCTCTGTCAAGATTAGAGACAAAAGCAAGTATTTCCAGTTCCATGAGGACGTCAGCCATGACACCAATGGTTGCTATAGCCTCAGGCGGCTATTGGACCGTCTGGCTGATGAAGGGGTCCTGGAGTCCTATCTGGTGAAAACCAAGGGCAACCCCAAATAAAGTGGGGGACAGCCGTCCAAGAAGCCTGCTGCTAGCTCTGAAACGGATGAAGAACATATCTTCACCATTGCAGGCGGCTTCGCAAGAGGGGGTCCCACTATCTGGGGTGCCAAGGATAACATTCGGAAACTATCCAACCTAGAAGATGAGGGTCAGGCGTCGAAAGACACCTTCCTTGAGGTCTTCATCTCTGAGAAGGATAGGGGCATGGTCAGGCCGCCTCACGATGACCCCCTGGTCATTGAATGCAAAGTTGCCAATCAACGAGTTGGCCTGATCTTAATCGATACCGGGAGCTCGTCTGACCTAATTAGTTACCAGTGCTTGACAAAACTCAAGTACAAGCCTAGCAACATGCACAAGGATCCCCATCCCCTAGTCCGCTTTGGGGGAGGATTAGTGCATCCGGTGGGAATAATTGACCTACCCATCCGGCTAGGTGGTAAAGGGGAAGGGCGGCACATGGTCGTCAAGTTTTTGGTGGTCGAGGAATCGATCGCCTACAACCTTATTCTGGGCCGCCACACCCTCAACGAGTCTAAGGCCGTCATCATCCCATCTCTTA